CGAAGCTGCCGCGAGTTTTCTCAATTTTTGCCTCCGATGAGGCCCTTCCCGATTCCCGTTCGATGTAATTTTTACACCATAGTGACCACCGTTCCTTCCTCTATAGGTTGACCGGAGCAAAACACCAAATCACGACTCGAGCCGGAGGAGCCGCCGCACTGGAGAGCCCCGCCGCCAGTAAATTTTGATTTTCAGTATTTTTTCGACCCACCGAGGGCCCTAGGGGTGTTTTATCACATGAACCAATGCAAGTTTGGCCGAATTCGACCTAAAACGGCCAGAAACGGCCAACTCGAGGCGGATCGCCGCCGCTTGCCGGAGTACGGTGGAGCCGCCGTGTCAGAATTACGAAATTGGCCGAGTAGGCCCTGGGTCTGATTTTGAGTTATTTGGGACATGTGCAGGTACTGTAAATGCGTTTCAGTTCCCGAAAAAAAAATTCAGGGAATCTAGGGATTGCCTGTAGGCGCAGTGAAAAACCGGTTTTAGATTTGGAATCAAGTAAGGATCCCTCACCCTATTTCCTATCGCGGAATTAAAGTTCAATTGAATGATAAAACTATATTTTATGAATTATATAGATACACGTAATTAATTAAGGGTTCTAATGGAGCCCGAATCTAATATATTTTTTGGTCAGTTCCTGTTTTATTTATTTTTACAGTTTTAAATGCGTTATGGTATGTGGCTTATTTATTTTATGGTTTCGAATGCATGAATCACTGTTTACTTCACTACTGCTTGGTTTCGTGGATTTACTGTATGTTTGCCTCGTTGAATGCACGTTACTTGTTTAAGTGTTCACGTTTATGTGAGAAATAGAAAACTAAGAAATGAATGGAAAATGGCATGTGAATCGATAAATGGATAAGTTGACAGCCTCACTAGATATCCTAGGAGATGGTGGACGGACCGGGTCCATAGGGAACTCTACCGGGAACGTTGTCTCATACCGGACGGGGTATGGAGACTTTAAATATTTTGGCACCCATACCAGACGGGGTATGAGGATGACCCTGGAATTAAGTTGTTTAAGTTAATGGTTCACGTGTAGCAGAGACCCTTATGGATTCTCATG